TTCCTTGCTACTCCCGGCCGGTCCCGGGGGCCGGGGTGGGGGTCAGCGCCTGGGCTCGCCCGGCTGCGGGCCGGGCTGCGGTGCCCTCGCTGAGCCGGCTCATCTGGCCGCAACAAGGGCGCCGGCAGCTGGTGACCGGCCCGTCGGGCGCGGGGCCGACAGATGGGCTCCGAGACTGCTCCCCCCGTCAGCCCCTCCGCCCTGCGCTCCGGCCGCCGAAGCGGCTCCCGGCCCCGCGCCAGGTAGGACCCGATGAGCCTTCGCTGGGGACCTGACGCCAGAGCGGGTACCCCCCACTCCCGCAACTTTTCGCTTCGCCTCTACCCGGGGAGCACGCTGGAGTGAGACGCAGGAGCCAAACCCCAGCGTCGACCCCAGTCCCAGCCTGTGGCTCCAGGATCTCAGGGGAGGGGGGTTTGACTCTGGAGCCAGACCGGAGGCCTCCGGTTCACGTTCAGTGGGCCAAGGTCACCTCCTGAGGCCGTTCCCCCTCTAGGGAGGTGGCGCGGTGCTCCCCTCCCGCACACCACCTGCAGCTGATTCCCAGGGCAGAAGACACTCCCAGGGCTGGGAAATTTGGGGGGCTCAACAAGCCGAGGCCCCTCATGTTGTGGCAGGATGGCTCTAGAAGAGGGCTGTCTGGTGGAGGAAAGGTGGGGGACATGTTTAAATGATACCCCCGCCCCCAGCACCCTCATACTACACCTTTTCTTTCCTGGGATGCTGAGGGTATGCTGAGGGTATTATTCCAATTTTGCAAAACGCACAGCAGCTAATTAAGTCAAGGAGCTCCCCGGCTTTCCAGCTCTCTTTGCATGTGAATGGGGGTTGGTAAATCCCCAGGTCTGGCTGTGGTGGGGGTGAGGGGGGACTGTCCCCAACTCAGGGTTAATGAAGTGGGAAAGGAGTCTCTCAGAGCCTCCTGCAAACAAAACCCCCATGCAACAAACCCTGCCCAAATCCTACATGGATTGACTTAAACCCAGGGGATAAGTGCTTTAAATTAATCTCATTGAATAAGAATGAGACCAAACAAAACTCTTTAAAATCATATTAAAAATCTATCAAAGGACAACTTGCACTGGTGTGCTTTTCATTTTGTGAGCGTGAGGGAGGCAGACTGGAGCAAGCACCCTCACATTTACACAGCGGCAGCGTGAGCCAGACGCCTTCTCCACTCTAATTGTCCTTGTAGGCACAGGCGAGTTCATACCGTACTTGAATGAAGAGCAAGGCGCCCCGACAAGTTTCTAATGACAGTATTCTAAACTGTCGTCCTGCACCTCCCATCTGCAATAACTTTACAACCTTTGCAGGAAGGTGGCTTTTGCTTTCGCCTATTTAGAAGGCTAAATTGGTTTCCCTGTTCCCAACCCCGGGGGCTGGGCGAGCGCTCATTTAAAATAGGAAAAAAGAATGTGAGACCCCCAGTGGGCAGAACAATAGGAGAGGCGCAGAGAGGGCGTCCTACAGCCCCTCCCCCTGCCCCGTAAACTTAGGCTCCACAGACGAGGGACAACCGAGTTGAAAAGTTTCGATTCCCCTTGGAGCGTTGTTGCAAGGCTGCTGGCCATTTTCGAGAAGTCGAGCTGGTTTTAAGGGCGCCCCACCGCCCCCACACAGACGGGCTTTGCTCTGGATTCCTCCTACGGTGGCAGCCGATTAAGAGATAAGATGTAATGGTCACGCAGACAATCGAACAAGACCCGTTCAGCACCCTTTCTCAAGCCCGTAACTTCTCCAATGGAAAAAGCCTTAAATTTCTGTCTCCTGGAAGCGGCAGCTGGATTTTAATGGCTTCCACCGGCTTTATGCTGAGGGGCTGGAGTGCTAAATAGCAAGGCCACTAGCAGTTTGGAATACACCTGCCTTAAGGGGTCCTCATTTACCCCCCAAATCTCTGCTCCCTTCACTACAGGGGGAAAAAAAATCAAAGGATTCCAGCGGGCTTTGTTGAAACGCCCTTCGCTGAGATTTGCTTGGCTCTCGGGCGTCTGAGTGGAGGATGCCGTTCGCATTGCATCAGCGCTGACTTAATCACTTGCCCAGGGCTGTTTGCCCTTCGGTGCGTGAGAATGGGGGCCCCTGTGAAGATGTGCGACTGCTAAGGGTTACAGACAGGAAGACGTCTGGCGTTCAAAAAGCATTCTCTAGGCCCACGAGCGAAAAGAGCTGCAGGCTGCAACAGTCCATGAAATGTCCAAATTCTCTGTGACTTTAAATGGGGAGATCAGGTTTATGACACAGAAAGTGGTAAGTTTGGGAAATTAGGGAGGAAAAAAAAAAGGCACGATTGAAAATACACACCAAATTAGAATATGTACAGTGGAATTAGGCTAAAGCTTTGCCTAATTGATGCCTGAAATGTATAATCTGTCAAGAGCCATAATAAGAGAGGAAGAGATTTATTTTAAGGTTATTTAAATTTAGAGAATATTAACCCTAAATCTGCTAAATCCATGTTTCTTTATTAACTGGGGGTAATATATTGGTTTTACTGTGACAAGAAACCTTCACCTAAGTGCTGGCAAATTAAGTGTAAGTTTTGATCTCGGAATTAGTCACTTACACACTTTGCACGGTTCTAGCACTTCTTCCCCCAGGAATGCACAACTATTCACTCACCCTTTAATGAAAAAAAAGTAGGGCTTCTCTTTGATCACCCCGTCACTGGCTTTAATCCTGTTTCTCACACAGCTGGGTTTTGTCTATACAGTTTGATCCCTCCTTTTCTCATCCAAATCATATGAACCATCATACATCAAAATAGAAGAAAGGTGGCAGATTTGCCCAAAGTCAGTATGACATGTGCTGTGGGTTTTATTATTATTACAAATTTCACCAACCACCCCTATTAAGCCGTATGTGACAGCCGGCTGGGGAAGGTCGCGTTTTGTCTCCTGCGGAGACTCGTGCCTACAAGGCTCACACTGGCCCTCACATGGGCGCCCTCCTGCTGCGGCGTCCCGTGGGCGTCTGCCTGGAGCCCAACAGCGCTGCAAGACGGACAGAGGCCAGGACGCTGCCCCTCCATGGTCCCCACAGACCGGCCCACCTTGCAGCTCGCAGGATCCTCTCCACACACGTCCCAGGAATGAGAAGAGGGAGAGGGGAAACTGAGGGTGGGAGAGGAGGAAAAGAGAACAGAGGTGCTGCGCCCCCCTCCCCTGCGACCCCTCTGCAGTTACCCGTGTCCAAATCTGACATTTATTGGGAAATCAATACACCCTGGGGGTCCTCTTTCAAACCTCCCAGAAAACACAACGGGGGAGGGGGCAGCTGTGGCCTGGGCCACAGGACAAAGACCCCAGACCTTTCTTGGAGACAAGATGGGATTCCATGGGAGCAAAGGCCCAGCACACTGGTGCCTTTTGACTTCAAAGGCAAATCGTAAAAAGGCAACAGTAAATCAATTAGCCCTGAGAGAGTAAGTTCTCCGTGGACAGGAAGGTGTGAGTAATGCTGTGAAGGTGGCAGGAGTTAGCGCGGCCTGGGACGCGCTGACCCACAGCAAAGCCCCCTCGGTCCTTTCTCACCAAGAATCCAGACATCGAGAAACCGATCTGGGAAATACTTTTTTCTCTTCTTTCACAAATTCAGATCCAGGTTTTAACATCTCATTTTACAAAATTCATGGCAACACAGGTGTTGATGGGGCGGGCAGAAGGAAAAGTGGGGCACTTCTCAGGCCAGCGTTCCGAGGCTGGGTCAAGTCCTTCCCGGCTGATGCCAGGAGGCGGCTTCCACGTGAAGGCGCGGGGCCCCGTCTGATCTAGGGGTGAAGGTTAAGTGTGGTCACTGACGGAATAAATACGAGATATAAGGTATCTTATGTAAGATGCAGGGTAACCGGCTAACTGATACTCGCTGACCCCCGCCCCCTGATCCCCTCCCCACGAGAGAGAAGGGCTGTGGCTGCTTTGTCTCAGGGACAGTCTTCAGGCAAAGGCAGCACTGGTGTCTCACACGGCTCCTCTGACAAGAACAGGACACCAGCCCAGGGCCACCAGGGTGTCCAGGCCCAGTCTGAGGCCCAGGCCTGCGGAGGCAGAGTTAAAAAAGAAACTTTCTGGGAAGGCCTGCCCTTCAGGAAGACTTTCTGTTTTTTTCTGTTTCACGGAGAGCGTATTTTTATTTTTTTCCCACGGCCCAGGCTGGGTGCTGGCGCGCGGCTGGCTGCCCGGCTCCAGGCTCGGAGTGTTTGTTTTGCTTTTTGACCTTGGCGACGCCGGCCTCCATCCCACTTGAGTATTCGGAACGCAAGATTTCAGCAAGGCGGTGTTTACTCTGGGTCTTCTTATGAGGGTCAGGCCTGAACAGTAACAGCAGAGGGGAAAAGAAACTTTATTATTTTTTTCTCTCCACTTGGAAAGAGGCTGAGAGCAGCTGGTTCCGAGATTGTGGAACTGACATTTTTGTATTACAGAAGTACAACCCCTCCAATAGTGCTTGTTTTGATATCTATGCACCAGAAGATGAGGTAGGGGCGCTGACAGATTTTCATAATGGTGGCAAAATATCACGGCATTTTTAAAAGTGAGGCTTTGTTCTGTGTGGTTTTCATGGAAAAGAAAGAACGATATACACTCACGCTCTGACGGCAAATGAGGTGCATGATGCGCCGTCTGCGGAAGGCTGGGGAAAAACCTGCCTTGGGAATCAAGCACGTTAGCAGTTCAAAGCCCTGGGCCCCCTCCTGGGGACTGAGCAGTGGCCTGGCGACGGGCCACACACTGAGGGCTGGGGTGTCAGTCACACCTTTTCCCTGACTGAGGAGACTGGTAAATATTTCTGACTCCATGAGACACCAAGCCCGATGTGCTCAGACAGCAGGGACAGGCTGCAGCTGTCAGGCCACAGAGGTTCCGTCCCACCCGATCCCCATGGAAAACGTCCAAGGCGGAAACGCAGTTTCAGGTGTTGAGTCCTAGGGCAGGCAGACACGGAGACACTGCGAGTTTGGTTCCAGGCCACCACAATCAAGTGGGTCGCGGTCTTTTTGCTGATGGGGGGACCTGCCTTCAGTGTGTAAAGCACACGTCTGTGAGAGCCCTAAAGCGAGGCACAATAAAGCGAGGTACCAGGGCCGGCTGAGTGGCTCAGCTGGTTAAGAGCTCGCTCCAGAGTGCGAGCTCTGAGCAACAGTGGTTCAATTCCCAGCCCGAGCTGAGCTGCCAACAGGTGGCAGGATGGCTCAGCTAAAAAAACCCAAGGAGGTATGCTTGTTTTCGAAAGACCTTAACATTTGATCAGAAGATCAGAGGGGGGAGGTTTGCAGAAGTTCAATCGTACACAAAAATGATTACAAAAATGGAAGAGTAAAATATTTCATAAGACAGGATTTTAACTAGAACAACAAAAAGCACCATTAACACTGAACCCACACTGCTGTGTTGGCAATTCCTCAAACCAAAATGGCAGCGTCTTCGGGTAACACAGCTTCTCGGGGTTCTGCCCTCAACTTACATTGCAACATTCTCTTTGCTGTAATAATCAGAGGACAAATGGGACTAAACTGGCGGTCAAAATAAATGTAACAGCACTCCTTTAAAACCCCCAAATTAAAAACAGGGCTAACGCTGTGCTATCAGGTGAGGTGGCAAAATCCTGTGGAAGCGTTATCACAGGTCAAAGCAACCACACCTACTGACAAGCACACTGCAGAGCAGGGTTCCAGCTACGGTGCAGCTAAACCTGTGACAGTCAGATAGCGGTTCCCACTGTGACACAGGGACAGGCGCAAAGTTGACCTCTGCTGGGAAAACAGAAGACGTGAGATGAGGGGTAATTAGGACCTAATATGGAAGGGCTAGGAGGTTATAAAGAGGGTGTGTGTGTCAGGGACCCGGCTGAAGGGGAACATTAGCAGTACACAGGGGAGAGCTTTCGGGGGTCAGGGTCGCCTCTCATAATCTCTGCTCGAGCAGGTGGGCAAGGTGATTGTCTTCATTTCACAAAGAAACGAAGACTGAGGAGCGAGGTGACTTGCCCAAGACCATCCAGCTCGTCCACGCAGGAGGCAGGATGCAGACACGAGTCAGATGGACTCAGGGCCGACGCTCTGCCCAGCAGGCCGGCCGCCGGTCCAGGATGGGACACTCAGGCTGACGAGAAGGCCCAGCACGATCAAGGTGGCAAATGACTGGACGTGGGGGGTCCTCTGTGGTCTCAGAGGAATGTTTTGCTGGGACGATGCGGGCAGAAGCCAGATGACAGAGGAGTGAGGAGCAAGGGGCAGAGAGGGGAGCTGACCTGAAGGGCGGAGGACATGCCTGGCGGGAGCGTGGCTCTGTCGCTCATGAGCTGAAGGACACAAAGCAAGGGCCTCAGTGTTTTTAGTGATCCCAATGAAAAATGGGGATGACACGACCAAGCTCATCGGGTTGTGTAAGGGTTAAATCCGTCAGCTGGTGACTGGCACATGGACTGTGGTCAGTCCCGGTTAAAAATGAGGAAACTGAGGCCTAGAGATGGCGCCCAGGGGCCAGGACTGGCTCTGGGGCCCTTGACAGCTGGGCCGGGGCTCCCAGGATCCATCAGCCTGTCCCTCAGGGCAGTGATCGCAAGTGCCCAGGCCCCGCCCCGTGTGGATGTGTGCACTGGTGTCCGGGTGAAGTACCCGCCTTGACGGGCAGGGGTGTGGCGTGGAAGAGGCAGGAGACAGGCCTGCAGCTGGGAGCGCTGAACTTATTCCAAACTGAAGGCTGCCAGTTCTGTGCTTGCAGTTTATTTTTAGTTGGGTTACATGACAGACAGGGTGGAAAGGTTCTGACAGGAAGCAATGCTTCTTCCTTCCCCTGTTTGAAGCCAGGGACTCACTGTGTGTATCATTTTAAATGCAACAACCACAGTTTCAAAATATGCAAAATCTCTGTCATAATAGCCTCCCCAGCACGAGCTCCCCCGCTCAATGATTGCTCCTGTCACAGCTAAAGCAAAATAAACAACCAGAGCCTTATTGGGGTGATCGATACGCTAAGGGCCGACAGTCAGCACAGGCTGCGCAGTGGCGCTTCTGGCCGAAGGCGCCCGGCAGGCAGTGTGCCTGTGCCTGCAGACTGGGTTCCCAGGACAGAGTGGAAGAGACGGTGCCAAAGGCCCACCAGCATGTGCGACATGCAGGCACACGCGCACACGCTCGCACACACCACTCGGTCCCCTTCTGAGTGATGCAAGACCGGTCCCTCCCCAGACAAGCACAGCTAGGTCTGGGGCAGGGAAGGTGACCTGTGGGCGAGTCCGGCCACTGCACAGGATGTGGACTAAGGAGCTTCAAGTTACCCTGTGGTAGCAGATGTGTCAGAAAGCAGGTCTTGGAGAGGGTCCTGCCTGCCTTGAGGTTATGATCTCAACATGTCCCGGCTGTTTTAGTCTAGTCAACGTACAGTTGACCCTTGAACAACGTGGGGGTGAGGGGCGCCGATCAGCTGAAGTCAGCCCTCGGCATATGCGATCCCAACTACGGATAGCAAACACAGTTGTGCCCTGAACAACACGGGTGTGAACTGCGAGGGTCCCCTCATACAAGGAACCACGCCGTGGACCCCCGCAGTTCAGGCCTGAGTCGTCTAAGGCTCAACAGTACTTTCACGTGGGACCTACACCCAAACTCCGCGGCTCCTGGTGGTCGAGATGCGGGGGGCTGGCACCTCCCAGACCCAGACTGCCTCCTATAGGGAGCCTTGGGCCAACCCTGCAGGGGTTTCCCTGGCTGTCACAGCAGCTGCCCCCACAGGACCCGCCCTTCCTTTGGCCAGCTCACTGTCGGTTTTCCTTTGTTCTGAGGCCCCATGCTGGAAAAGCCAAGGACAGATGGAAGATGAAACGTTGTAAACCCAAGCACGCGATGGGCACACGTGGGCTCGGTCCCTTCTGCTGCCGAGCTGTAGTTCTCTGAGGGACTTGCCAACTTTCTTCTCCTCGCCCTCCAAATACCCAAACCCCGCTCGGATGGGCTTCCAGAGCATCCACCAGACCCGGGCAGAGTTACCAGGCAACAGATCAGTTTATCTAACCACAGGGAACTCCCTTGTAGTGAAGGCTGAGTAATCCCCGTAGGTTACCAGGCTGGATTACCCAGCAGGACAGGCAGTGCCACTTTCACTGCCAATAAGGAGAAATCACAGCCTAATTAGTAAATCAATACACCTGCTAGGATGACCACTGGAGAAGAGCATCTCAGGGCCTTCTCCCAGCTCCACCCATGAATTCACAGAGGAGCAGCAGAGGGAAAACTCTTCTAATACAGGCTTTTGTTAATGTCATTCTTTTTTGGCACAGAATTATTTTATTTTACCTTATTTTATTTATGTATTGTCTAACCTATCAATCTTTTCTTTTATGTCTTATGGCTTTAAGGTCATGCTTAGAAAAGTCTTCCACATCCGAGCATTTAAAAAAATATTCGAGTATATTTTCTGGGTCTGCTATTGCTTTAATTCCACCTAGATTTTATTTTGGTTTATGGCAGGATGCGGAGAATTTAATTATTTCTTCCTAAGAGTTATCCACTTATCCAAGACAGTCACTGAACAATAAATCTTTTCCCCAAGGGCTTGAAACGCACCTGCGAACATCCCTGCAGACTTTCAGAACATTTCCTGCAGGCTATGTCTAAAGAGTTGGTGATGAGGATACTGGCGGCCAACGTTAATGGGTTCTATTCTACCAATATAATATATTCAAACAATATTTAAGCGAACACCAATTACGTGGGTTGTTAATGAATTTAAATATAAAACAGGTCACATCAAAGCCATTCAAACTGGCTATGCAACTTTAATAATTTCATTACTAACACTTACACGTCACTTAATATATGTCAGGTGCTGTTTGAAGCACTTGATAGACTTAACTCATTTACTTCTCCCACAACTCCGGGAAGCAGATGCCACCGGTATCCCCACTCCCCTGGCGAGGAAGCTAAGGCACAGAGAGGTTAGGTGGCAGGTTCAAGGTCACACACCGATAATGGAAGAGCTGGGATGTGAGCCCAGAAATGGACTTCATCACTGTGCTGTAAGTTTTTACCAAAACAAGGAGCAAGTTCCTTGCATGAAATATTTGTTAACGCAAGAACAATGTTCACATTATCTCAAATCTCAAAGACTCCTGGAACCCCTGATAAAGTGCATCTTAAAAATAACAGTAGATAAGTGAAAAATGTTTCAATCATATGATCTGTTCAGTCTCATTATACACACATAAAAAAATCCACGTATGTATACATGAAGAAAAGTCTGAAGGATATAAAAAATGTGAATCAAGGTTAACTTGGATTGTGGGCTTATGGGTGGTTTTTATGCATTTCTC